TCTTGAAGTGGGGCTGACCTCTGAATTCCAAGGCCAAGGCCGAAAAGGCGTGGGGCTGCAGCCCTACCCACCTCTCCAGGGTTTCCAGCTCCAGCCCCACCCATGCTGCTCGGGGCTCTGTCCGGCGCAGGCCTTGCCCTCCTGGCTTGCTTTCCCTCCCATCTGCGGCCCAGTGCCTCGCTACACATCATGGCCCACCAGCTGGTGCTGCTGAACACAGGGAGTGGGGTAAGAGCCCACGTTGGGCCTCGCACCTCCTGGCTCCTGTGTGCCGCTGTCCCCTGTGCCCCGCAGCCCCTATTCCTGCCGCTGTTCTGACCGGGGCCAGATACCCAGGTGCTGTGCATGGTTCGTGGGGACTCCTCATCCCTTCCCCAACTCCAGCACCCTGATCCCGGGTCCACTTCCGCCAAAGGAGAGCTTTGCCCATGCCGCAGCCCAAGACTGAGACCAAGCAACTCCAAGGTCCCTGGACCCCAAATTTCTGCCAGCCAAGGCGGTTGGCCAGTTGGTCCCGCCCTGATCAGGGTGTTGGGGGTGATCCGGCCCAGATCAGGCTGGTTTGCTGGCCGAAGTGGGTGTCATAGCGACTAGTTGTTAGGTCATTATGGTCGTGACGGCGTTACAGTCTCTGGCTTTTTATATAGATAGACTAGAGGCCCGGTGCACAAAAATTTGTGCACTTGGGGGAGAGAGGGGGGTCCCTCAGCCCATCCTGTGCCCTCTCACAGTCTGGGACCCCTCGGGAGATAATGACCTGCTGGCTTAGGCCTGCTCCCGGGTGGCAGAGGGCAGGCCCAATCCCTAGGTGCAGCCCCTGGTCGGGTTCAGAGCAGGGCCGATTGGGGAGTTGGGGTGCTGCCCCGTCATGCACAGAGCAGGGCGGATCGGGAGGTTGCAATGCCACCCCTAGTCACGCTCAGGGTACGGCCGATTGGGGGGTTGGGGCACCGCCCCCTGTCACACTCAAGGCAGGGTTGAACGGGAGGTTGCGGCGCCACCCCATGTCACGCACAGAGCAGGGCCAATCAGGGGGTTGGGCGCTGCCCCCTGTCATGCACA